CTTGAGGCCCTTAAGCTCTGACTTATTTGATGAAGAATAAGCAAATGATGACTATTTTTAAATAACTATTTAAACTTTTGAGATCTAAAATTAGGAATTTTGCCCCCAAAACTTGACATTAAAGCGGGTCCCTAAACATACCCACGGATCCTGAATTAGCCCCGGAACTTGACATTAAACCGGGTCCCCATGCATAAGAGGGTCCAACATTACCTCCGCACCACAGCTTAGTGCCGCCATCATTCTTTCATGAGCATCAAGAAGAGTTCCAGGTGGGTAGACGCAAGCTCATACCAGGTCATAGGTTCATGTAAGGATCGTATAAGGGTACTGGGGCTTGTTAAGGCCGCAACTTTCCTGGAGAGCAGGTGAGTTGACGAGAGCCCACTGCCAAATCCCAAGTCGATGTCCTTCCCCGCCTCTCATGGGACTCAATTACGTCATTGCCCCTCATCTTGCAGCTTGCCGCTGGCTGGCAGATTTTGACCATCGTCCGGGTTGTGCGGCCATTTTTGGAGCCCACCGCAGGCTCCGACATTCACATATCCGCTGCCTTGGAGACATGCTCTTAACACCGGGAACAGCAATGCCGCTTGTTGATGCCTTTTGTGTAGTTGACTTGTTGGTGCCATGCAGATATATGCAGACTACCTTGCGGTTGTCATCTCACTTGTGCGCTGGGGCAGTAGGGCAAGCAACCATTGGCAATTCGGACTTGCCAGAATGATGTTGCTCAGGGAAATTGTGAAGCCAATGGGGAACTTGCCTCTGGCAAGAAAGGTCTTCTGATACACGGGCATGGTATAGGTTGAGCTGACGCTGCAGCGCAACGAACGTTGCAAGGTGTGGGGTGGGTCGAAGCTGGTCTCGGAGAACGCTACACCAGCCGACTGTCCATGTGTGGACCAGACAAATCAAAGCTCTTCAGGTGTTGAGGTGTACCATGCCTGCAGACAGGCGTGTGCAGCTTGCCGTTTTAGGGCATGGCTTGCCAACGTCAACCAGCTAGCTGCAGATATTGCAGATCTTGCTGCAGATGGCACCCCTATATACAGGCAACGCTTGCCAAGAAAAGCTGAGAGGTATTGCCGAACGACGCTGCTTGTCTCTCTCTTGCCTTCTTACTCATGGTTTCAGGCTATTAGAAGTTCCGAAGCCGGCATTTGCCATTTGCGATGGAAAGATGGGATATCGTAGCCTGTTTTGGTACGGATCTGACCAGCGCATACCAGTGCTACTTGTGCCAATCTCATGGTCAGTGCTCTGCTGCAGTCACTGTAGGCTATACGTGTTCCAAAGAAAGTTCAAGCCTTGTGCTTGCTAATTGAGAGTCTGATTCAGTCTGATGGCTTTGTCTACGATGATTCTTGTGGACTTACTCGCGTTACATCTACGTACAAAATGAAATGTAGGCATGCAGGCATGCAAGTCCTACTCAAAGATCTTATCAAGTATGGTGGCTGGCCTGCTGAAACATCTCTCTTCCGATCTTGCCAAGCGTGCAAGCAGCCTCAGATTGTCAAGATCTTTCTGTCAGCCGCCTGGCTGTCTCTTCAGTGCTTTGCTGGGCTGCAGTAACTGGCGTAGATGCGTGTGCCTCGAAAACGTCAGTTGCTGATCAAGCGCTGCCCTCCGGAGTGCAGATTTCGCGCGACATGCGTACTAGCTTGAACCAACGCAACAAAAAGCAGGGGCTTGGCCACATGTTTTTGTTTTGCCTCTCATGGAAAGTTGCATCGGGCAAGCGACGGTCTAAAGGAAGCCGGCACGGAACCTAGCTAGGCATCCAGAGGTGTTGCTTTCGATGGGCCCAATGGTGTTACAAAGTCAGCAGGTACCAGAACTACTCGGAGGGTGAATGGCGTGTGGCTAGACGACTATTGAAGGCAATGCTGAGCAAATCTAATCCTGGCTGCCAGAAGGGTGTTCTCCTCACAGGCCACTCAGGACATGCTTGGCTTTCAGGCTCGGGCTTCAAATAGCATGTGCGCTTGTGGTCGGAGAGTCTGAACGCGATGCCTTGGATGCAAGCGGATTCATACAGGATGGTCCAAGCACCGCGCTACTGGCCTTCATGGAGACACCCTACCAGTTTGAGGTTGGAGTGGAAGCGTTGTGAGTCATCAAAGAGGCCTAGTCGCTCATCTTCTCAGGCTCCGCCAAAATGGATGGGTGTGCGGGATGTCCCTCTGCGCGGGCCATGATTGACCCTGTACATTGCCAGCCAGCTGTGTTATCTCTTTGCTGCCCTGACCGAGGTGAGACGGCTCACCCAAGCGTAGATAGATTGCGTGCTTCTACTCCTCTGCCGAAAATTCGGAGAGGTCATACAAAGTAGCGCACGTCGTAAGTATGTCCGACATCTAGACGTTTGTTGGACAAAGATGGCAATGGGCTGCATGTAACCTAGCGGTTTGCGGGCAAATCCCTGGGCTGTTCACCTGCTTCTATATGGTGGTAGACACCATTCCCAGAGGTTATTGTTGCATCCAACTCCAAGACCAGATTCGCAAAGCGAACCTGTTTGTAGTTTCACCTCGACATGCGGTTGAAGTGTTTGTGATGTTTGTGGTGTTCTTAAAGGAGGGGGAGACCGTCAGCAGTCTTCCTTGGTGTGCGATGATACAAGATGAGCACGCTGCTGGCCAAGTCTGCGTGCGGCCACATAAGCGCATGGATTTAGTATCATGCTTGGAGCGATCTGCAAAAACTAAAACACACGTACTTGAAAACATCAGGGCTCATGAGCATTTTCCAAAGGAGTTTGCCTGTTTCCTTGCCGTACTTGTAGTTAGATCTACAGAAGAAGAAATATGAGTTCCTCCTGCCTGTGCGGCCACGGCCATGGAAGCTTCTTTGAGATGCGGGGCAGGCGTCAGATGAGTGATCAAGGAATCCAGTCCATCATCACAACATGTGAGGCCCAGAGCCTTTCCAGGTTGGCCGCTGCCAAATCTTTCAATAGTTTGACGTAGTTTGACGTTGCATATGAAGCTGTGAGGCTTGGCTGCAAATCCTTGGCGAAAGGCCATTGCCCAAGGTATCCATGGGTCATGCAGAGCTGTGAAATACCTGGTTCTCTAACAAGAAGGCGTCCTAGCTGCCACAGCCTGCCAAGGACAGAACTGATTAGTACTAGCATCTTCTTGTATGCTGCTGTTTTTGCCATTTCTGTGACAGACTTGGATAAGTTCAACTCCCCCAAATGCAGTACGTAACGCCTTTTTTCAGGGTGTATTGGAACTTTTCCGTCCGGACCGAAGGCCAGAGTAGAGGCACTTGCAGTCGGCAAAGCTGAGAGATTTGGTGAGCAAAGGAGCATTTTTCGGCTTTGAATGCAAGGTCGGTGACTGGGGAGCAAGGCAGCCTAGAAGGGCAGATCCGAGGCGCAGGGAGGCCTCGAAACCGTCGCAAGCAAGGTCACAGGAGTCGTTCTGTTTCACACGATTTGCTCCTAAATTTGTCATATGCCGGTGGTGTTTGTTGTGCCCATGGAAGTGAGCGCTACGAAGTTTAATGAAGTTTAGCAGATCATTGAATCAGACAACAGCTCCCGTTGCAGAAGCAACTGAGTCATGCGCTAAAGGAATGATTCCCAGCTGCAAGCACGTCGTCCGAGATTTTGCCCAAAAACCCTCTACTCTTGGGTTGTCGTTTAGGTTCTCTAAGCAAGGGGTGAGTCATGAACGTGCGGGTATCGTGCGGTTCCGCCAAGCTACTGGTATGGCCCGGTTCCACCAAGCTACGGCCCAGGCACGGTCCCGTGCAGCCAAGGAAAGAAACTGTGCGGGATTGTGCGGGCGACGTGCGGGTTGGCAAAGCTATGGTTGAGGTATGCGCGGGTAACGTGCGTGTCCACCAGGCTACATGCAGGTAATTTGCGGTTCCGCCAAGCTGCGGCCCTGGTCTACGGCCCTGGCATGTCTGTGTCTTGGCCAAGGCACAGCCCTCGTACCGTCAGGGCACCGAGCGCACTTTGAGGACGCGCCAGGAAGGCCCGAAGACCCATGATCAGCAACGGCAGGTCCTGGCTTTCAATATCGGCCCCCCGCGGAAATGGAGAGAGGAGGAGTAGGGAGAGAGAGATGGAGCCGCGAGCCTCAAGCCCTCCCACACACTCCGTGAGCCCTTGTAGTCCGCTCCTCCCACTCTCAGTGCTTGGACGGGCTTCAGGAGAAACCTGTGCCTTGCGTCTCCGCTCTGAGCAATCTTCAACTTGGGCAAGTTTGGAACACTACGCGCCTGCGTACTCCTTGCACCTTTTGTCCACCTTTGTCTACAAGATCGCTCCTGAAAGGTGTCAGGTGCTGCGCGACAGGCCTATATCCCGGTCCTACAGTATCTGCGCTACAACCTCCACCCAGCCAACCACGCTGGGAGACGGACAACAACCTCTGCAAGACCGTGACTCTGGCAAGGACACCATTGAGGAAACTACTCTTCCAGAAGATCGCGGCACCAACCAGACAAGCAGTGGCCACAGCATCTACAGCCATGCGCTAATGGCCTTTACCAAGCTGAGGCAAGAGACATTGTAGGCAAGGCAAAAGCATCATCGCGCAGACGCAGTTTTCAAACATGAGTGGGATCGACCATAACTAGGTGCTGCTTCCAGATAACCATTCCGAGACATGCAGTCCGAGTATACACCGTTCGGCTAACTGACATGGCTCCGCCAAAAGTGAGTGGATGAATTCACTACATAACTCGCATTTGGTCAACCCAGTACATACGCCCGCGTGATGGTAAGTTGCTAACACCTTTCCCAGTCCCAGCCATACGCTGCGAACACTGCCGGGCTTGAAACACCGATGCAGTGCGCAGCAATATCTATAGTTTGGTCTCAGAGCCGTGCATCCTTTTCCTACATAGCAGCCCGGCGAACCCACACCTTTGCAAACCCACACCCTTTCCAGAACCATTAGGGTCCCAGTGGCTATATTCCCCAACTCGTGCAACCGACCTCGTCTGCTACCAAAAGGTGTGAAGTGCTCAAGCTCAGGGCCCAATTTGACAGTTTCAAGTCACCGCAGGCCAACACCCAAGCATATAACCCTTTTGGTGCCTCGCAATCTCAGCCAGGGCTCTTAGCTGGAATATGGAAGGGGCCAAGATGAGGTACCAGCAGCCAACAGCTCATGCCCAACACGGGCCGGGGAGCGGATCCCCAGGGCCGGCGCAAGTCGATGACTCCATTGCCCGAGCGAAAGAATGAAAGAAAGAGAGCACTTTCGAGGAGTGGGAGGCGAAGCAGGGTCATGAGCGTGAGGGCCACGGCAGCACGGAGACGGATAGTGAGAGCGGCTGAGCAAGGGGCAAAGGGACACACACCAACCAAGGGGCCACTCGTTTCAGGTTTGGACAGATTTTTGTGTGAGGGGTTCTGTTGTCCTTTCGGGTTGTATAGTGTCCCGCAGCGGTTTAGCACCAGGCCCGCGAATAGTACGGTGGAGGCGGCTGTTCAGAGGTGCATGAAGGGGCAGAGCAAGTGCATCCTTGAGAGTCCAGCCTAGGGGCCAGCATGTTGTAAGGCCATCTTGCGTTCAGGTTCTGCTTGTCGGGAGAAGCGTTGCTCGTCATGTGCCCTGCCTAGAGAATCAGCTGGTAACCCGGTGAGCCCAAAACTGTACAAGAACAAGCGGCCGAGGGCGCCCTCTCGAAAGAAGAAAGTGAAAAGTGGCTGGGACCCAACGGGAGGGGGGTCAAGACTTACGCTGTTGCTTCATCATTACCCCAGGGGCCAGCTGATTCGGTATAGTAGAGGAGCTGCTAGGAACGTGGCAGGCAACCGACCGGCCCAGCGCAGATGCACGCCTGACACAGAAGCTAGTGGTCCAAGTGTTTTCTAGCCTCAGTGGTGCTTTCGAAGTGTGCTTGCTTGTGCCAGAGGTGGTTGTGACCTTAGTGGGTTCGTGTATTAGCTTGCTTGCAGAGCGGGGGGCAAGGCATCGATCAGTCTCACAGCTTCGCTGAGCAGGATGCCCACACAGACTGGGTGGGGTTGACGCTTTAGCTAGGGGCATAGGGCATCTTTGCCAAGTGGTAAAGTCTGTGGGGGGGTCGTTCCTCGTGAAGTGTGACCACAAGCTGAGTGCGGACAGTGCGTGGGTGTGGGGCAGGGCCCTAGGGGGGTCATCAGACCCCTCATCACCCGTAAAGAAAGAAAGAAAGATCGAAAGTGCCGACCCCAAGCTAACTACTGGTGTATCCTGTCCTAGTGACGGTGTCTGTGGTGGTGTGGCATAGGCAAAGCCCAACACAGGCGGAGAGCAAACCTTGGGGGTGGGCTTACTGGTCATCCTCAGCGCCCGCATGAAAGAAAGAGAAAGTGTCAAAATGCCATCTGCAGCAACAGCACATCCGTTGGCAAGCAATCATGCAGACGAAATAAAATTCTTCGGTTCTTGTCACGCGCGGAGATGTTTCACTAACAACGCCAAAGGATCCTGTAAGTTCAGGCTTCGGCAGCAGGAAGTCAGTTTCTGGGCCCTGCAGGCTCCCACCTTCCATCGTTTTTAAAGCTTGCAGAGATGGCCTCGGGTTGCCGCTCAAGATTGGCAGCTATGAAATTTGTATTCTTCGCACCATAGCGTTTGCGTCTTCTGGCCTGAAGCGAAACTTGCCAACAATTGAAACCCTCTTGCTCTTACTGCCACAGGCGAAAAGCCACCCCACAGAAAAAAAAATACCGGATCTTGCCATTCGTTCCGCGAAACTTCCATGAGCATTCCTCGGCCGCCAGGCTGCCGGTTTGATCGCAATTGCAACAGTGGTCTCAGTGCCTGCTGTGGCTCGCGGCAGCCTAACTTTTTCTTGCAACACATCAACTTCTGGGAAGACGTGCCAGGTCGTGGGATAGATTCACCATGATTAAACTGCCTCCTTCCAAGGTGCGGGGCCATTTGTGAACTTCCTATCTGACGTTCTGCCGAGCACCCAGCAACACCACGTGCTCAGCCACAGCCCGTCTGATGTTGAAAGACCTGTTGTCATTTGGTCAGGCCTGTAAAAGAAGCCCAACGTGCTTTCGCGAAAGCAGATTGGCAGATCCGCGATGGCACGCTGACCTAGTTATGGCAGAGAGCGCATATTCACATTACAGCTATTCAGCATGGAAGGTGTTAATCGATTCACGGAAGTCGTTGCTTCTCCTACAAAACCTCCGGAGGCTGGACCAAGCGACTGTTTTGGGGAACGCCTGTGTTTCAACTTGGATTCTCAAACAGTGGCAGCTGCTGCAGCTGTTTTGTCGCATTTACTGC